GACTCAATTTGCACTATTTCTGGCAGTCTGCAACCCCCCTTAGTGTTTCTGCACCCTTTAGATCAGGGGTAGGCAACCTAAGGCCCAGGGGCCGGATGCGGCCCTCCGAAGCCTTTGGACCAGCCCCAGACCGGTCCTGCCGCTGCCGCCGCCTGCCATAATGATAATCATTATTGTTATTACTTGTTCTTGGGATTTTCTTGGCAAAATCTCCACAGGGGTTTTGCCATGGCTTTTCTGGGGCTGAGAGAGTGTGCATGCATATTTTTTAAATTTTTTAAAATTAAAATTTATTTGTTTATTTATTTTTGGTGCTTCGGCCCCCCAATTGTCTGAGAGACAGCAACCTGGCCCCCGGCTCAAAAAGGTTGCCTACGCCTGCTTTAGATGTTTCAGAATACAACTCCTGAGCATGCTGGAGCTGGTGAGTATTGTAGCCACAAATATTTGATGACCATGGAAGCTGAGCTTGTCCTGACTCTAGTTGGTCCAGCCTTTTCAGATGAGAATTATGTTTTGGAGTTTATCATAGCAGTTGCTGGGCAGAAACCAAAGCTGCAGCTCTCCCTTGAAAAAATGCAACAGTTCAAATAGACCATATTGAATAAATAGGGATAATCATGGAGAGCATACAGTGCTCCAGATGTTAATGGAATACAACTACAAACCCCATCATCCCGACCATTAGCTATGCTGACTGGGACAGATAGGTTTGAGGATCTAACAATATCTGGATTTCCCACCCTCTAGAGGAGGAGGAGGAGCTAAGTTAAAGTGTAAGAATCTAATTCTTTAAAAAGTACTAGTCCACCCAAGGTAAACAGAAGATAGAAACTCAATACTTGAGTAAGAATATGAATTATAATAGACATAGAACTGGATGGACTTGCTGTCACAAAAGATGGCAAAGCACCCTGGGACTCACCCTGTGCTATTTGCTTATTTTAAAAACATCTATATGCCACCTTTCAGTAATGCCTCCATGGGAGTTTGCAGAGATACAACAGAA